GGCAGAAGAGCTTCTACAAAGACCAGCTTTGCATTCCAAGCCTACGTGCTGGGGAGATCAGCTTTCCGAAGCAAACATAAGCCTCTAAAATTTTAGGCCAATAGAAATGACCTCTGTACCATGGCTGACTGAAGATATAAATAAACTTCAACATGAACAGCAGTGTCCACCGTGAGAGGAGAGATGAGAGTCCAATCAGAGCTTATTTTTAAAAGGTCCTGGTTGTTCTGACTCCGTTTCGGGGAAGGGCATTCATGGGCACAAAGCTGCCGTTCCTTGCAGCGAGCTCCCCTGCTTTCACGGGCACCAGCGCCTGGTTACCTAACCACGGAAAGGAAGCTGCACCACACAAGTTAAATATAGGCTGAGTTATCTGCATTTTACAAGCACCAAGAATGTTAACTGAGGAAGCTGTCATTTTTAATGAAAGCACCAACTTCCAATTATCAACTGGGTAATACCGCAGGGAGCACATACGATTTTGTAAGATTGGCTCACGATTATCAAAAGTTTACACGCTTATTTATTTATTTTTTTAAAGATGTTGGGGGTAGGAGTTTTATTAATTAATTTATTTATTTTTGGCTGTGTTGGGTCTTTGTTTCTGTGCGAGGGCTTTCTCTAGTTGTGGCAAGCGGGGGCCACTCTTCATCGCGGTGCGTGGGCCTCTCACTATGGCGGCCTCTCTTGTTGCGGAGCACACGCTCCAGACACGCAGGCTCAGTAGTTGTGGCTCACGGGCCTAGTTGCTCCGCGGCATGTGGGATCCTCCCAGACCAGGGCTCGAACCCGTGTCCCCTGCATTAGCAGGCAGACTCTCAACCACTGCGCCAACAGGGAAGCCCTACACGATTACTTTTGAATTGGATATAAATATTTCTCACGAGGCAGGTGGGATTGTTTTTCACGTGGTCTATATTCAAGGCCGAAAAAGAAACTGCTTTCTTGAAAAGTATACATCGGAGATTTATCAACAGCTAAGGAGTAAGGGGGTCCAAGGTGACAGCCATGAAGAAACTGACAAAGCTAGAAGGCTGCAAAAAAAATGGCCAGGTGGTAGGTTCGGTCTCAAGAACAGCCACAAGTTCACTGGCGAGTCACAAACTCTTACGACAAGCCCAGTGCAAGAGTTGGGGTCTGGCAATAGGTAATACACGTAAGTCCTCCTACATCAGCCATGGTCAGACATTACTCATACAGGGGCCCAGTTTCCTTTGGTGCCATCTACCTAACTCTCATGGCATCTACATAGCTTCATCTGCCAGCAGTGAATATGGAATGAATGGCTGTTAGCCGGCGTTGCATGTGTTTTCCATATAGATCAGATGGCCTTGACCTAAATGAAGGATACAATTTGTGAGTCTCAAATCAACCAATTCTTTGTGAAATCTCTTCTGATGACTCCAGTCTCCAGTGATCTCTCCATTTACTGAATTTTAATTTGAGTTGTGATATTACTACTTAGCCCCAAGCCTTGCTCCAAATAGACTGCAGTTCTTGGGGACAAGGTTATCTTGATTTTTTTTTCTTGGCTGCACTGGGTCTTCGTTGCTACACGCGGGTTTTCTCTAGTTGCGGGGAGCGGGGACTACTCTTCATTGCGGTGCGCGGGCTTCTCATCGCGGTGGCTTCTCTTGTTGCGGAGCACGGGCTGTCGGCTCACGGGCTCAGTAGTCGTGCCTTGCGAGCTCTACAGCGCAGGCTCAGTAGTTGTGGCACATGGGCTTAGTTGCTCTGCGGCATGTGGTATCTTCCCAGACCAGGGATTGAACCCGTGTCCCCTGCTTTGGCAGGAGGATTCTTAACCACTGCGCCACCAGGGAAGTCCTGGTTATCTTGATTTAAAGTCATCTACGGGAATTCCCTGGCGGTCCAGTGGTTAGGACTCCGTACTTTCACTGCTGAGGGCGTGAGCTCATTACCTGGTTGTGGAACTAGGATCCCGCAAGCTGTGTGGTGTGGCCAAAAACCAAACCAACAAAATTAGTCACCTAGAAGGAGAGGGTGGCACAGGTGGTCAGTGAAGACAGGTGTTACATACTTTTCTCAATGACTTGAAACCTCCATCGCAAATGTAATGAAAAGATTTTTAATAATCATTCATTAATAGCTTTAGATAAAGAATCAGGTTGATCTATAAAGCAAGTCAGATGTGTTCAAGAGGCCATTTCTAGCAGAAAACAAGAGGATCCAAGCCTCCTCTCGCAGCCACAAGCCCGTCCACGTGGTAGGTAGGATGAAGCCACCGGTGGCTCTGGGCCTTCCTTGCGCCTCTCCTTCCTGGTCTTCTACCTGCTGTTGCTCCAGAGGATTCTAGTGCCTGCTCAAATCACCTGCCAGCCCGTGAGGGTCAGAGGAGCTCTCACTGGACTGAGGCAAAGAAAGCACAGAGAAACGTACAGAACGAGAGGAGAAGACACACATTTTCCCAGTGCAACAAAGGATAATGCTTCTGCCTATCAAAATCTGAGTTTATGATAACAATTAGAAAGTATGTGTACGTCTAAACTAATACAATGTTATATGCCAATTATATCTCAATAAAATTTAAAAAGCTAGAAAATATACATATCCAGTAGGTGAACTGGCTCAATAAATTCACACATTCATATAGGCAAATACTAATTAAAATGATGCAGATCTAAAAAAAAATAACACAGATCTATTTTTATTGAAGTAGGAAAGAGGTCCATCCTTTAGTGCTAGGAACAAAGTGTTATAGAATAATATGCATAATATCATCCCATTTTTAAGTTAAAACTATACACACATACAAGTATAGAGAAGAGCAGTCAGCTATACAAGCAGTTATTGCCGATTGGTGGGACAATTTTGTTTTTTGTTTTTTCTTGTCTGCAGTTTACTTTTCTACGATGAACATGGATTACTTGTGTTAAGAAACAGTCAATGGTCCTAACAGTACCCATTCTTTTCCTTTTTTTCCTTGACATTAACAATACTTATCAGCTTAATAATGAAACATGCTCAGTTGAGGTTTTTTTCCAAAACAATGAAAATTAAACATCTAAAGTCTCTCTTTTTTGAGGAAAAAAAGGATTATTCCCAAAAGTGTTTCTGAAAGCCAGAACTCTACCAGCAGAGTGGATTATAAAACTTAAGAGCTAACAAACCGCATAAAAAAGGGAGGGGGAATACGAGGGGGGAAATCCTCTCTTTGAGATAAGGAAACAATCAATTTACTGGGGGGAGAAGTGGCTTTCTAACAAGTGACAAGGAAACGAGATGCAACAAACAGTTTCATTTTCTATAAATAAAACCTTAGAAGGCATATTGCCAAAGAAACACGTCAATATATAAACCTTTGTATACTGGGCTACCAAACTTCACTTTTAGACAGTATATTAATTATATAGTCAATAACCATGGGTTTCATTAGTGTATTAAACACCACGATCGATGTTATTTATACTTTTCGAAGACAGGCCACTCAGGAAAAAAATGTCGGGGAGGGGAAGTTCTTGGCCCTGCAGCTCAAAAAGTCACAACAAGCACACTGGAGATAAGCAAGACTTTAATGGAAAGCATAAAACACTAAAAATATGGACAGAAATCAGATTATTACCCTTTTTTTTCCCCCTGCCTCCTTCACAATGAGGCTGGAGGGAATCCAAGAGCCATTTAAAATAAAGGTGAAATGATTAGATTTTCTCCTAATTGCCTAACGCTGATGTCATGGTGTACACAAAATAAACATTGATCTCCAAGTGAAAGATGAGAAATAGAACATGAACAGCCTTTCAAGGTAAACTATCTCCAAGAGAATTCTAAGAACTGTGGGCCAGAATCTATTTAGGCAAGCCTTCGGGACCTGAAGCTCTTAGAAGCCTAACAGTGGAGCCAATTCCTGATGCTCCGCTACTGGTGATTTGATTTTTAGTAGGGAAATCTGCTAAACATCCTCCCTTGAGGGAGCCGCCCTATCTCAGAACATCCCCTGTGGACTTCTAATCGCATCTGCGTAGACGTACTCGTGTCACCGCGTGGGCATTGAGAACGCATGGCGGCTGGTACAATGTTCCAGAGACGCGTCAGGGTCGCACCGTTGGTCAGTGCTCTTCACGGGGTGGAAGCCGTGATAGGGAAAGAAGGGAATGCTGGGAGCAGCGGATATAAAAGACTCATTACCGGACTGAAAGCCAGATTGCCACTTCTAACCCACAATTTGTCAATCCACCAGAGTGCTGAAGAGTGTAACTTTCTAGTCAGCGCTTTACACGCAAGGTCAGACAGAAAGGAGCTTCCATAAAAATCGTTGAGGCCTCGGCCAAAGAATCAAGTGCAGCCCAGTGGCCATCTTCTGAGACTAGAACGTGCTCAATTAGTGGGCCTGAGAAAAGGCCGCTCTATGTTCTGAAAAACGGGAGTCACCCTGCCTAGCGCCGGCTGGTTCCTCCCGAAAGAGGACAGCTAAGGATGACACAGACAGGACGTGATCACTCCCCAGCTCCACCAAGGGCCTCCACGTGCCCCACTTGCCCAGATTAAAAACCAGGGCCTGGTGCTGCAGGAAGACTGCGACGCTGCCTAGATGCTTGGAGAGAGCTGCGCAGCAAATGCCAAGCGGTGGGCTGCAGCAACCAGATAGGTAATTAATATGATTAGGAACACAGAGAGGAAGCATGCTCTTGCCGACTGAAAAGCCCAGCAGCATAATTACTGTTTTCTTCCCAGCTCACTGTCTGTTCACATTTCAAAGCCTGGGTGGTGTTAAGACTGCTGTGTAAACATCAATAAAATCCCGAAGTGCCAGATCATCAGCATTCCAGGGCACAGTGGCTTTTCGTTTGGGGTCTTTTCATTCTTTTAAAGATGCATTTCAGGGCTGCAAACATTAGGAAGAATCATCTCCATGCTTTGGACTAATCTTCGAGTTTGTAATGAGTTAATATCTCCCCCCAGTGAACATTTATTATGAAGGCTAATTAATTGCTTTCCAGTTACAAGAGCCCTTTGCATTCAAAGAAAGTAGGATTCACAAGCAGAGACTATACTGTTTATTAAACAAAGCAATGGAAACAAAGGGCTTCTCCTTTCAAAATCCCTTCTATTTAACATAGCTTTAATCAAGAAAAGAAACATACAAATACAAGAAATATGTACAGGTAGAAAAGGCATACCAACCAAAATGCAACATTAACTGAAGGGAAAACTAAAGCAATGCTCTGTAGCTGCCTGGATGTCCCTAGGGGACGGCAAGCCAAGGCTTATCAGCCTTCCTCAGAAGAGACAATTTTGATTAATATCAGACCCATCTGACTCAGTCTATTAGACCCTGAAGGAAGGATATTTTCAGATAGAAAAGATATGACTGATTAATAACTCTACCCTATTGCCATTCCGAGCACTAATAACTATGTGGCACCTCTAGAAAGAGCGCCTTTGAATCTAGGAAGACACGCCTACTAAAACACCCAGGTTCCTCTGCACAATCACTTCTCGGCTCTCCCTCCCGAGAAGGGACCCGAGCCGTGGAGGTGTCACCACTGGAGAAGTGGAAACCCTACTTACATAATTTATTTCACTGCCTGCAGATTTAGGGCCAATTGCTTGGGACATAATTCCTGGTTGAAGATAATGAAATCTTAATAAAACTGACAAAAGCCTAAAGACAGAAGGAGTGACTGGTACTACACTCCCCGCCAGCTGACCCTGAGGTCTGACACGGTTTACACCACAGCCCTCCGAGCAGATTTCCCTTTGCTGCCAGTGGGTTCCCAGATGCGCACAAGAGGCAATGGCTTAGTCCCCCACAGAGAGGCACTCCACACCGTGCAGCTAACGCAGAGTCGTCAGGCGCGGCGGGGCGGGGGTCGGGGTTGGGGGTCAGTTCGCTTTAGCCCTCTGTCTACAGACTCCTGCCCCGTTAGCAGGCTTGGCTCACATCGCCGCAGCGTTTCTCCTGATGCTCATGATCAACCTTCTGCCATATTCTCTGTAGTCCACGGGCTTCACGTCCATCACAGTGGCCTTAATTCGAGACTCATCCTTTGAAAAGAGAAAAGCGATTTGTGAATGAAGGAAAGCCTGTGGCCATGGGGCAATGGTTTCAACGATCCCAGCAGGAGAAATCACAAAGACACGCTGGGTTCAGAGTTCTGTCATTCCGATAAGGAAACAATGATGGTGAGAGCCCAGGCCAGAGTTTCTGGGGCCGGGAGAGTGGACAAAGGCCTCCCTTCGATACAGACCCCTCTCACCTGTCCCTCGCGCTCCCAAATGCTCAGGAACCTAGACTCCAAGTGCGATGGACCTCAGAGGATTCATGAAGTTCAATTTATTCTCTTTACAGAGGGGGAAACAGGAGCCCAGAGGAGACAGTGACTTCCTAAAGCCACACGGCTGGCTCTGAAAGCAGGGGCCATGGGGAGCGGAGAAGCACCCACGGCAGAGGAGGGAGGCCTGCCATGGGCCCACCTCAGCCCTGAGAGAGGCGACCTCGCTGCCCTTCACCTGCCCTGTCCGCACCATTCAGGGACCGAGCAACCCTTCCATCCCTCCCTCCCGACACCACCCTGACATCCACCACCCTGACATCGTTATCACTGACATCTGGAGTCCCTGTCTCATCTAACGCTCACAAAACCAAGCACAGCTATCAGCAGGTATTAGGGTTAAGGTCTGACAATAAAACAGAACGAGTAAACCCTGAGGCAAGCAGAGGAGTTTTCTGAATTCTCTCCCCTTGCCGCAGGTTCACAGGTTCACTAGGTTGGACGTTGCCTGCAGAGGCAGAACAGGGTGAGGCCAGCTCAGGGGCTCACACGCTGCAGTGTGCTCTGTACTGACTAAACCCAGTCGTATTTCTAAGCATGGTTGAGAGCAAAGCTCTGAGGCTGGACTGCCTGTGTGCCATTATTAGCTCTGCCACTTGCTAGCATATGAGTTTCGGCAAGTTACTCATTCTCCGTATGCCTACCTTGTTTTGCTGGTAAAAACGGGGCTAACAATAGTTTCTACGCATAGGGTTACTGCCAGGATGAAGCGAGACAATGTATGCAAAGGGTGCAGAACAGTATCTGGCAGACAGTAAGTACTCAATAAAGGCTGTTTCATCATGACTTTACAACCGTATGATGTTATGAGCAATTTAAGGAATTTTCAAGGTAATTTTAACTACATATGGTCTTTGTTTCACATACTGACTTTAGAAACCCAAACCATGTGGAAGATGTGAGTCCATTTTGTCGGGACACAAACCAAAAACCCCTAGGTTTTAACTGAAAAGGCCACACAGCGGGACTTCCCTGGAGGTCCAGTGGTTAAGACTCCGCACTCCCAATGCAGGGGGCGCAGGTTTGATCCCTGGGGAAACTAAGATCTGGCTTGCCGCAGGGCACAGCCAAAAAAAAAAAAAAAAAAAAAAAAAGGCCACATAGCATTTTTTTCTCTGGATGTTGACACTGGACGTGACCCTTAACCTCTCTTTAAGGCTGTTTCCTCATCTGAAAACAGGATGATGCTTGGTACCCCAGTGCTGGGAAGATTCAGTGAGTAATAAATGCAGGGTGCTTAGCATTGGGTCTGGAACACAGTAAGCAAGGAACTGACAGTTAACACTATAATGTTGCTGGGGGTGACAAACAGCAGTTCCCCACTGCTAACCCTCCTGCACCTTGGGTGATGTCACTTACATTGTAGGTCTCCAATTTGACCCTGATCCTGAATGTAAAAGATCTGAAGTTGGCATTCTGGAAAACTTCCTCAAACGCTTGCTCGTTCTGCAAAAACAAACGTAAAACGGTAGGCATGGAAACTACCAGACCATCCGAAAATGTCCATAAGATATCTGAAAAGACTTTGAGGAAAATCCTTGAGAAAATGATCACCCCCAGTGGTTTAAAATTTCTTAGGAATGACTAAGGTGACATTTCATCACATAAAACTGTTTAGGTAGAATTTTATTAAAAATTAAAATACTCTACCTAGAGTACTCAAATTCATAGGGACGGAAAGCGGAATGATGGCTGCCGGGGGCGGTGGAGAGTTAGTGTTTAATGGGTCCAGAGTTTTGGCTTAGGAGGATGAAAAGGTTCTCGAGCTTGACGACAGTGATGGTTGTGCAACAGTGTGAACGTATTTAATGCCACTGAACTTACACTTAAAAATGGTTAAAATGGTAAGTTTTATGTATATTTTACCACAATAAAAAAGAAACTGAAGCACTCTTAGGAAACACATTTCTAAACTTTAAAAGTCTGTGATGGAATAGATCTGAGGCTCAGCATCTTCACCACAAATTAAGAATGGGAGGACACACTCAGAAAAAAGTTCAAGTTGTCACATGCATTATTTCAGCCTCTGGATTTACAGCTATGGATTTGGTGAGGAAGTGAGGAAGACAGGAAAAGTAGGCAAAGGTTAGGGAAAAAGTTTAAAAACGATATTCCTCTCTCCCTCTTTCTCTGGCCCCTCAAATACTATTTGATTAAGCTGCTGAACTAAAAAAAAAAAGAAAAGTCTGGTAAACAGGGATCAGAGAAAGCATTTTATATAAATATGCATAAAATAAACGTACAAGAACTTTTTAAAAAACAGTTCATATCAGTCAAGTATTATCTTTGCAAGCCACCTGAAACATGAAAATAGCTTTATTATATATAGAACTGTTTTGTGTAAAGGTTACTACACACACACACACAAAGTCCTCAGGCTTTCGGGTATGTAAATAAAACAATGTGTTAAACCTTCAGAAAACCATACCAGCTGCCATCATTCTTTCAAGATCAGTGAAAGCATGGAGCGCATACTCTAAGAATATCATAGTTCCTGAGGGAAGAGTTTCTATATGTCCTCATTCACTGGCAGTGAAACCAGCCAAATGTAATAAGCTCATAAAAAATCCTGAAAGGCTGCCTCGAGCCTTAAAATCTGATATGAAAATAGAGGACCGGGCAAAACAGATAAAAGATACCATCATACTTTAAAGTCAATTCCAGTTATTTCTGTAAAAGGGCTTGTTGGGATTATTTTTAGAGAGCTCATGGACAATTTCAAAGAGACACAGGGGCAGAGCTAAACGGACAGAATAGAAGACAGAAAAGAAAAACACACACACACCAAAACAAATGACAAACCCTTTTTTTGTTAGTGGCTTTTATAAGTATCCTAACTGATTTGGAGGAAAACAGGGGAAAAAAATCTACAGATAGATGCTAATTCGTGTGGCCCAGAAAATATAGCTTTTATTGGTCTTTACATGTTTTATCTGAGCAAGTACCTTTCTTAAGTTTAGGATAATTAGTAATCTATTCCCTGAATTAAATAAAACTAATATGTGAAAATACTAATTTATAAAAATGAAATGGAGAAAGTTATCTTATGAAAGAGTTATTTCATAAGAATTCCACCTGACAACATGAAATAAGCAAGTACCTTATACGTGAATTTAAACCAGGATTTGATTCAACTTTTCAGAAAACTGTTTATTACATTAAAAAGGCACATCTGGAATGGATAAAGGTGTGGTACATATACACAATGGAATACTACTCACCCATAAAAAAGAATGAAATAATGCCATTTGCAGCAACATGGATGCAACTAGAGATTATCATACTAAATAAGTCAGAAAAAGAAAGACAAACACCATACATGTGGAATCTAAAATATCACACAAATGAACCTATCTACAAAGAAGAAACAGACTCACAGACATAGAGAACAGACTTGTGGTTACCAAGGTGGGGAGAGAGGGATGGACTGGGGGAGTTTGGGGTTAGTAGATGTAAATTATTACATTTAGAATGGATAAGAAGGTCTTACTGTAGCACAGGGAACTATTCAATGTCCCGGGATAAACCATAATGGACTTAAAGTCCAACACAGACTCAAAAAAAAAAAAAAAAAAAGGCACATCTGTACTTCAGCTTATTTCAGAAGACACCTTCCAGATCTCAGGTGATTGCAGGCACACCAACTCTTGGTGTGCTAACAGTAACGGGAGAAAAAAATGCTGGAAGTGCTGTTTTTAAAGCATTTTCTATACATTACTTCATGCCTCATTGTTAGCACATCCAAGGTGGACACAATTAGACAGAATCGGATGAGCTCTCAAATAATCATCAGTGAGAAACTATACAACACCCAAAAGCAGCAAACCAAAAAGTATTAAAGAGCAAAAAGTGGGTAAGTGTTATAGCATGGGAACTATTACAGTAATAAGACAAGACGCGGCCGACCTTCTCTTTTAACTCCCCAAGATAAGCAGTGCTTTGTCCAAGGATGGCCTCTGCAGACTCCTGGAAACATGTGACCCACTGATTCTCTTGAAAGTCAGCAATATTTACCTAAAAAACACAACTTTACGTTATTTCAGCAAAGAAATAATGAAAGGAAGACACACTAAGGAGACAGGGAGATTAACTTTTTCTACTCATTAAAATAATTTCCAGGGAAAAAACCCATTTCCACTATATATGCCATATTCTTTCCAAAGAACGTAAAAAGTATCCAAGAAAGAAGTTCAAAATGTAAGTCTGGATCACAGCAGGAACATGATGTGGTGTGTATGTGTGATTTCAGATCTTAGTGGAGATACAGCCCAACTAAACTCTCCTTCAGACACAGAATCTGGACACAAGGGACTCAGTGGCCATCCAGCCACAATGGCCTTTGGACTAAAGGTTTTGAACAAGCCACCAAAGTCCTCTGCATTTTAAATTGTACATCCTTCAGTCACCAGGAGGCACTCCATAAGACAGCTCTCAGTCACTGCTGGCATCCCAGACAACTGGAAAGCCTGAACTAAAGACAGTGCCAGGCACTTGGTAGGCACTCAAGAAATACCACAGTGGTCCTCATCCACCCATTCTACTTACTGACAGGATCATGCGGTACTTGAAATTGGGAAATTCACTGTCACACTTCTCGCAGCGGTACAATCCATTCTGTTGATCAATCACTTTCTTATTGCAGTCCTGAGTCGGGCAGGCCTGGTACATACAGTTCTCTTTGCGAAGATACACCACTGTCGCCACAGAGCTAAAATAGTCGGGCTTCAGCAGAAAAGAGTGACATGAGACACAGAGCACAGGCCTATGTTCAGGACTGGACTTGCCCTTACACATGAGGGGTAAGTGTTTACATATTCTAATTCTCATGATCACAATGTGATTACTGGGAATAATTCATTCTATAGTTTTAGAAGTCACTTGTGCTGATTATAAAACCCATGAAGGTAGTAATAAGCCAAGTTATAAAGCATATTATTCCTTAATAATAAAAGAACTAATTCTAAATTAGACTAAATTAATTAAAACTGAAACAGATTATATGAAAGACAACGACTTCAAGAGACAAAGACGTGTTCCTCCTGTTCCTCTGACCCTCCAAAGGTAACAGAACCAGGAAATACAGAGGAATGCAGTAAAATCTAGCAGTTATGTTCAACCATTCCTCCCACATTAAAAACAACAGCAATGATTTCTAGCGTCTAGATTCAACTTTATCTCTATTTGGCCAGGTGTCAGCAAGCTTTTTCTGTAAAAAGCTAGACAGTAACTAATTCAGGCTTTACAAGCCATTGGGTCACAGTCTTTGTTGCAGCCACTCACCCTGCTGCTGTGGTGCAAGATCGTTCACAGACAGTATGGAGATGAGAGCAGGTGGCTGGTTTCAGTGCGCTTGTATTTACAACAGGCAGCAGGCTGGATATGGCCCGTCGGCCTGTTTGTGAATCCCTGATCTAAGTCATCAAATTCAGAATGCAAAAAGACTGAACAAGTGTCTTCAAAGTGGAGACGTCACTGATAAGTAAGTGTAGCAAGGGCCAAGTCATGTGCATGGGCTTTATGTTGCTATTTGCTTTGCCTTTTAACTCTCACGGAAAGGATACGGGATGAATAATTTTGGGGGGCAAGCACTTCCCTCTGGGTGTACCCAATTCAGGGCCAGGTCAGCAGCCTCTGGGGCTTCCTGATGTTTCAGAACAGAAGAGGCAAAACAATACGGTGGATGTTTAAAGAGCCTGGGCAAATCCTCACTCTAAAAGGCCCTAGAGAAGGGGAGTCTCTGAGGAGAATGCCTGAAGGATGTTTCTGTATTTCCAGGTAAGGTCCAGATTCAAAGTGTGACTTGAAAGTTTGGGTGCGAACAGGTACTCTCTAGGCCTGATTTCTTGTTACATACTGTCTACCCCTAGATCTAAGAAAGAGACTGGTTGACAAGAGACACAGATCTGTCCAGTGTTTCATTCTCAGGACGCTGTATAACAGCATTATGAATTGCAGTCACTGACAATGACGAATAAGAGAGTATAGCGAAATGGGACAGTAAGGAATAAAAACTATACTGTATAATATGAAAATTATATAGCAGGAATTACTGGTTTGGGGAGCATAAAGGAGAAATAAATGATTTAAATATTGAATTGCTGACAGAATACAGGTTTAGATTAAGATGGGAGGAGGGTCATTAGATACAAACATTAAAAGGGAAGTTGCAACTAAAGTCAAATACCAGAGCTATTCTTGTCAGAGAATACCAGCAGCGCTCAGCCCACGAGACGTTAATATTCTACAGCCAGTGAGGGCACACATGTGAGCTGCCCGATGTCTGATGCTGAGACTGACTAATGCTCAGTGTGAGCTATAATCTCAAAAGCCACCTTCTTGGTATACGGGCATTTCAGTTTGCAGGAACAATCAGAGAAAAGACATATGGACCTCAAGGCAGCTCATAAAATATACAACCTGATTGCTACCACTTAGCTAAGATCCCTCTGAGAACTACACAACTCTCTAAGTCAAAGCTTGAACATCTTTCTGCCTCAACCTACCTGAGGGATGTAACATACTCCTATTAGAAAGCACAGCTCCTTCATTCTGGCTGGGATCCTCAACCATCATGCCATGCTCTGGGCAGAGCCCCAGGTGAGACTCATAGCTCTGAATTAAGGTCTAACAGCTGGTACCACAAAGGGAATCTGAAAACTACTGTCTCGCACATTTTACATGCTTTTGTGAAGAAAGTTAGGAATGCAGATACCTTGTCACCTTGGCCCAAGTTCTCTGATTTAACCTCATATAAAGTTTTCCAGTTGGTGTTGCTCCCTCCTATTCCTCCACTCTTTAGATCAGAGATGGAAACGCCAGCTAAGGCTTGTCCTTCCGAGTCAAACCTGAAAAACAAAGAATAACAGGCACTATATATGCTTATTGAATATGATACTTGTTCCTACATGCTATATACGGGCTATCCACTCCCCACCCAACTTCTTCTTTTTCTTTCTTTCTTTTTTGCTTTTTTTGGCTGTGTTGGGTCTTCGTTGCACGGGCTTTCTCTACTTGTGGCGAGCGCAGGCTACTCTTCGTTGCAGTACGTGGGCTTCTTATTGTGGTGGCTTCTCTTGTTGTGGAGCACGGGTTCTAGGTGTGCGGGCTTCAGCAGTTGTGGCACATGGGCTTCAGTAGTTGTGGCATGCGGGCTCAGTAGTTGTGGCTCATGGTCTCTAGAGCGGCCTCAGTAGTTGTGGCGCACGGGCTTAGTTGCTCTGCAGCATGTGGGATCTTCCCGGACCAGGGCTCGAACGCGCGTCCCCTGCATTGGCAGGCGGATTCTTAACCACTGCGCCACCAGGGAAGCCCCTCCCCCACCCCCACCCCTCACCCTTTCATAGGTCATGGCCAAGTGAGCTGATGGTAGTATCTTCCTCATTGTATCTTAAGTCTATTGAAGAAATGGAATGACCTCTTTTTTATCTCAATTGCTTTGATGCCCCCCAGTGGTCAAGAAAGACAGTGCCCAACTACCACAGAAACTTTTATTGAATTAGCTTTGCATATCAACACTGGCCGGAGGGCCCAAGGCCTAAAAACAGTAACCTGGAAAGTCAACAACAAAAAAAGCAACAATGGAGAGCTGTAGTATAGTTCTTTGGGCTACTGATGCTCATTTTTGCTCAGCAGCTGCATTTTTATCATCACTGAAATGTATCAGGATAGAAAGGGACAGTTGACATATTTTAACAGGGTAGCAAAAAGTGTTCCCATGGTGAAAGATCTTTTAAGCCTGGTATAATTTCAAAAGATTATAAGATTCAAAGTAATTTATTAGAAGGTATTTATCTGTTTCCTTGTAGATTTACCTTCTTAGCGAGATTTTACTCACGCCAATATATTTATATATATATATATATATATATTTTTTTTTTTTAAGTTATTTTCTTTTTTTAATTTTATTTTTGGCTGTGTTGGGTCTTTGTTGCTGCATGGGGGCTTTCTCTAGTTGCGGCGAGCAGGGGCCACTCTTTGTTGTGGTGCGCGGGCTTCTCATTGCTGTGGCTTCTCTTTTTGCGGAGCACAGGCTTTAGGCACGCGGGCTTCAGTAGTTGTGGCACGCGGGCTCAGTAGTTGTGGCTCACGGGCTCTAGAGTGCAGGCTCAGTAGTTGTGGCACACGGGCTTAGTTGCTCCGCGGCATGTGGGATCTTCCTGGACCAGGGATTGAACCCACGTCCCCTGCATTGGAAGGCGGATTCTTTTTTTTTTTTCGGTACGCGGGCCTCTCACTGTTGTGGCCTCTCCTGTTGCGGAACACGGGCTCCGGACGTGCAGGCTCAGCAGCCATGGCTCACGGGCCCAGCCGCTCCGCGGCATGTGGGATCTTCCCGGACCAGGCACGAACCCATGTCCCCTGCATCGGCAGGCAGACTCTCAACCACTGCGCCACCAGGGAAGCCCGGAAGGTGGATTCTTAACCACTGGGCGTGCCACCAGGGAAGTCCCATTTATGCCGTTATTAAAGTTGAAATTAATTTATGTTAAATTATTATAAAATTGATTATATTTCTTGATCACATATCAGCTAATATGAAGGAAAGGGGGCCCGAGAGGAAGTGTCTCAGAAACATACTTGTGGCAGGGAAGAGTCAGTGTGAGATTAAAAACATGCCAATGTTACCCAAAAGGAGGATAACTAGAAGTAACCACATACAGAACAGGCTCCTTAAAAAGAGAGCACAGAACAGAATGGATGCCGCCCTAAGCTGCAGACAATTGCCTTTTTGTTCTGTCAGATCAGTGGCTAAATCTGTCACAGAGGCACAGCAAGGTCCATAAATCTGTTTCACCACAACTAGCTACATGAGTTTACGGTTTCAAAAATTCCAAGGAGACATTTGCCACCGAAGACAGCTAACCGGAGTCAACAGAGCAAGGAGAGAGGCAGCCCTTCTTACAGTAAAAACTCCACATCGTTGCAACCAAGATCTAAACATCTCCAGTCCTTGCCTAGTGGGACGTGTACACTGAGCTTCTCTTTGATCAATGCCAAGTTCTTTTATTCTAGAGGCAGCCATGTCTTTTTATGTTGACTGGGATCACAATTATCGACAAGAAAAATACAAAGACCTTAATGTGGGCACGCAATTGAACTGGGGTCGAGCTCCAGAGCCTGAAAGAAAATCAAGCAATAAGAACAAACTAAAGCTGTGATTACATCTGGTCGGGTTATTAACGAATGGGCCTTCCCTTATAATGTGATGGCAGCTACCAGAAGAGTTAAATACAGATCCACAGGGGCCACATGCACAAGGCTGGCTTAAGTGACATGATCATGCCAGTAGATATTTCATGAAACTATTCAAATACTAGCGCAACTGGTTCACATTAGGCTCAAACAAAAGTGGGGAGTATGTAATATGAGCTAATTCCTTAGTCACTCAAACCCTAAGACATGGTTGGAAACCAACACACTCCCCCCTGTGACCACAGCTACACAAATTATTTAAGCTCAAGCTAGTTCCAGGGCTTTCCCTGACCACATCAATGCTTGCATACCATGCTTCAGTTTGAAGTGCTCTTTTAAAGCATCGTTTTAACACCCTAAACAGCTAGACATAGTGAAGAGATTTTAGTAGGCTCTCCTCATCCCCCGAGCGCTTCACGAATAACAACGCAATGCCCACAAAGGCCCATTGTGCCCACCGCACTTGATCAGAGTCCAGTGAATACATACTAGAAGATGCAATCGGCACCAGAGACTGGACGGAAAAAGAAGCACTCTCTCCCCCGACGCTGCAGAAGCCCACCGCTTTGAGTCATGAAAAGAAAGATGCCTCCGCTCACAGAGCTTCACCATACAGCTGCTACCGCCGGCCTCACCTGCTTCGCAGGATCCAGGTCAGCAGGCAACATTCCCGTCCTAATTCCTCCCTGCGACTCTCCAGGTTTGTCATGGGATTACAGGTCTGTCAGTTGAAGGGCTTTAGAGCCATCCTTTCAGAAGGCACAATGTCTCCAAGAAATACAGGCACTGCTCCACCCAGAAACGAAGCTCTCTGCTTGGCAGACAGCTCATATACCGATCGTGGGAACCAAAAGAACCAGCTCTTCTCCAAACTAAGGCTCAAATAACCCTTGTGTTTAGCCCCATAAAACCTACCATCCACGAAGCTTGTAGGCCTCTGGGATGTCAGGGTTCACAATGACGGTACTCGAAGACAGTACAGAGAGGCTCCGTCCACCAAAATCAGAAACTCTGGCTCCTTTGATCGCCATCACGGGTTGTCTAGAACCATCAAATCTATCAGCCTGCATAACAACAAAGACACCAAACAAATACAAACAACTGTCACTAGCGGGAAGAATGCACAAAACATTTTTACAGAAAACAAGGGAAACAGCCAACAGTAGAGTGAATGCAATAAATGGCACATGGAATCTATACAAGAGAAACTCACACGCATCAAAACTAATCGAGAATTCGAGGAAAGAGCGTTTCACTATGTAAAATCTAAATCAGCAAATCTCACAGAAGTAAATCAAATAAAGGTTTTCAAATACTCCCCAGATAGTCCAACCCTTCATTAGGAAGGGTCTACACAGCCGACAGGGCCAGAGCCCCACCGCTTCCGGGGCAAGACCACCACCCTGGAAGCTCTTTACGTCTTTGCCTCTCTGCACGTGCTCTGACCACTCAACACGGGTACTCACATCTTCTCCCCACAGAGTAGCATTCACCACTTTCCCTGACATGTCCATCAAATAGATATTCCTCTTAGAGACTTCTCTGTTGTTAGACTTCACTGTGATTTTAGTGACATCTTCATAGCTCTTGCAGATTCCGATTATGTCTAAAACACAGGCACAACATTTTAGCAAGAGATGGTCAAGGCTCCCATTACAGCATGACCAGAGGTTGGACAGCAAGCACGGAAGTCTCATGCCTCCCCTATGTGTTGCAAACAGAACTAATAATCACCACTCTCTTCATTCTCGCACACATACTTACCTACAAGTGAGTCTTTAGGCTTGTTCTCTAGGTCACCAACCCCTGTGAAATCAAACTGGACTGTGGGTAAATGATGACCATCTTCACAGGGCATGACAGAAGTCTCATTATTGAAGGTCATCTCATAGTCGTTTTTGACGGCTGTGAACTGTTTGTTGGCAATCTTCAGGGTGCCTTTAGAGAAGTAATAGACCTGTAAAAGAGGCCAAGCTATGGAACGTGCGATAGGCCATCAAATTGGATATAAAAACCCTTTACAGGTCACATAGCTCTCCAACAGACAGCATCCCCTCACCCCACCGCTCGGCTGTTCCCGTTCTAGACTCCATGCTACTGTACCTTGTTCACGTCAATAAGAGGAAAGAACTTGTCCACTTGCTCGTTGAAAGCAGTCGCTCTGATTTCGCCCTGCAGAAGCATGCGAGAACAGGTTACAATTGGGGAGTTCAAGTTTTACCAGTGAAAAACAGCACATCTTAGTGTCAAAATGACATCTTTAAAGCAGTAGCACAGTCACCCCAGAAACACACAGTTCACAGTCACATATTCAAGTTAGTAACCCTGATGAAACAACCCAAGTTTAACTGGTTGATCCCGTTACTGTGCTTCATTAACCTCAAGTTAGAAACCTAAAAAAATAAATAAATAAAAATTTTCGAACACTGAGTGACACGACTGAAGCCCCCAGGGAAGTGTGCTGAGCCACTGTGATTCACCAGTTTCCCTCATGTTTGCACCCAGCGAGGAATTACTTCATACTCAGGGGTCACTGCCAAAAATGTTAAAAACAAGTCATACTTTCAAGTTGCTTGTGATTGGATTTTCACTTTTACTTTTCCATCAGTCAAAATGCTACAGATGGAGAAGAAACTTAAATTAACAGCTGTATTTTTAGCCAAATGACAGATGATACCAATAATTTGGTAAAAAAAAAAAAATTAGGTTCTGACACCGATTCTGCCCTCACAGTCAATACATTTTAGGGTATTATCCCATCTTTGAAAAACAAACAAACAAACAAAAAACAAACCAACTGTTATTTTCGGCCCTGTTAGAGGTTTCAACAAATAGGAAATATGCAGCAGTTTGAAAAGAATGCTTGAAGTATAAATTAGGAGTTATAAACAAAACTAATGGGGCTTCCCTGGTGGCGCAGTGCGGGAGGATCCCACATGCCGCGGAGCGGCTGGGCCCGTGAGCCACGGCCGCTGAGCCTGCGCATCCAGAGCCTGTTCTCCACAATGGGAGAGGCCACAACAGTGAGAGGTCCGCGTACCGCAAAAAAAAACAAAAAAACCAAAAAAACCCTAATGGACAGAGAAATAGCATGACGAGACTTTGTGGAGACTCCACAACATGGCTTTTTCGTCTCTTCATCATGGTTTGGTCTTGTTTAAGAAAAGCATATAGAGGGACTTCCCGGGTGGTGCAGTGGTTAAGAATCCGCCTGCCAATGCAGGGGACAAGGGTTTGATCCCTGGTCTGGGAAGATCCCACATGCCACGGAGCAACTAAGCCCGTGTGCCACAACTACTGAGCCTGCGCTCTAGAGCCCACGAGCTACAACTACTGAAGCCCGCGCGCCTAGAGCCCGTGCTCCGCAACAAGAGAAGCAACCGCAATGAGAAGCCTGTGTACCGCGACGAAGAGTAGCCCCCGCTCGTCACAATTAGAGAAAGCCTGTGTGCAGCAGTGAAGACCCAACACAGCCAAAAATAAATAAATTTATTTAAAAAAAAAAAGAAAAAAAAAGAAAAGCATATAGTGTCTGCACAGCCAGAATCCATCTCCCACAAAACCGATCACTTATCACATATCAAGGCTGCTTCATGTCTTCTGCTGTGGGCCAAAGCTCCACTTGGCTCCTAAGTAGACATAACCCCCTGGGGCTTCGACTAAGGCTGCCAGCAAGTCAGACAGTGTCTCTGGTTTCTCCTGCCCGTGAGGCTACTTAGCTTTAGAAAACTAATTTCTACTGCTACAAACGCTTTCGTTTGAGGTCAAGGATTTTATTTATGACTTTAACCCTTTGCCCCCAGACAGCATCAGAAGACTACAATAGAAGAAAAACAAGAAGAATCGTGTTCCTTCTTGGCTTAGTATTGTTTTTCACCTCACAGGCCTGCACAGAGATGAGCGCTGTTTCTCAGAGTAGAAGACTCCTCTTTCCCCACCTGACAAATACTCACACTCTCATCAACTAGTTCTATAGAGAAAAGTTTCCCTTCCCCTCGGGAATTGCTCCAGGTACGGATCTGACTTTTGTTGGTAACACGAGCACAAATAGTCCACCTAAAAACCAAACAGATTATATTAGTGTTTGGAGTCTTACTTGGGAAAGATCTGAAACGTTCCCTATCATCTTCTTATAGCCTTTCTTATCTTATGCATATTCCATTTTTCAGTGTAAGCTGTATTTTAATCCAGCTAATTAAAACCCCACGATGACATCCAGGTTTGACAGTTTGTAGAATAAGCAAATAGTAAAACACACAAGGTGATTTAACACGGACTCATTCTCCTGTCAAATAAGTAAATTTATGAACGCTCTCCCTTCTCCAAAAAGCATCACCAAGGCAACACTATCCCCTTAATGAAAGGTTCTCAGCTAGAAAGTGCAGTAATACCAGCAATTATATTTTGCCGCTATTTTCAATCATGGGAACTGATATAACTGACGTCAAACTTCTGTCTCGTTTCCAAGACACACTGAATATAAATACAGGGGTATGGAACGCGGTGTTGGTTCAGGCACCAAAAGAAAACACTCTCAAGCACTATGACCTCAGACAGAGGCCACTAAGAAAGGAGATATGAGGTCTGACATCCAGTCCTAGAGCCCATCCTGAGTGGAGGTGCTGGCACATTAGCTACCTTACTCATCATTTCACAGGGGAACAGATCTGCCCTATACTGCAGAGAATTGAAGCACAAACAAAAACATAGCTGAAAGAATTCTGAAACGAGTACTCACTAGTTTTCCACAGCTAAAATTAATTTTGAATGGAAAGAAGTCATATAAAAGAAATATCTGTTCAGGCTATATTACTATGGTTAATACAAACAGCACAGATTCTTTTAGCCAACTAAATCAGAGTAATAATTTTTAGACTAAAAGTCACCTGTTTATATGATAAGATGAAATACCTTCTGAATTAGAAAATTTATTCTTACTCATAGGACTACCAACTGATTCTTGAAACATTAAATCTTTTAAATTTCAAATTCTTTTAAAATGAATGAAATTCCATAGGCTATGGATGATTGCTCTTTTTGCCATTCTTTTATTGAGAGTTAAAGGTTGCCACAATTTATCTCCTCCCCCTCTAGAGAAAAAAAAAGGAGGAAACCTATTTTATGTGTGGTAATCCTGAAGTTCACATATAAGTAACTCAAGAGCCCATAATAACCTCTTATATTCTTTTCTAAGTCCCTTCTAAACTTATTCCATGAAATAACTCACTTGGACTGGTAAGGGGTGAGGCTGGCAATGGGTACCACTTTGGCCTGTGTTCCCCCGGAGCTGTTCCCTAGGCTGGTACCTCCAGGTTTTCCAAATGTCTTTGAGGCACCAAAAGTCTTAGATACAGTAGAACCTTTAAAAACAAACACAAAGGACAATCATTATTTTATTTAAATTTTATAGTAAGTTTTGCAAGAACTCTCAATTACTAGTGACATCATACAAGATGAGAGACAAAGTTTTTCCTTTTAAATAATCAAGAGATTTGGACATCAAACAGAGACTGAAACAGGAGGCTAGAGGCAGATCTAGGAAGAAGGCTGGGCACACAGATGTTCACGACTGTATCTGCTGACTTACGCCCTGAGGTAGAGATAATAATGGTAATGAATCCAGACACTGCTATTTCAGAGGTCAACCCTCTTAAACTTTTCCCGTGTATCAACAGGCAGGATAATGGGTCAGAGAAAGAAAATCAACCTTCTTGACTGGTAAAACTGATGACAAGTCACTAGTTGCATAAGAGAAAAAGCAAAAGGAAATGCTAGGAATTAAGGGACACAGTGGGTGAACCATTCGAGGTGAAGCATACCTATCATAAATATATCGCCTCAAAACATCCCCAGAAAACTCCCAGTTCTCAACTGGTCTTACAGGCACGGAAAGTCTAGAATGAAGTTTACGGGATTGGGTTTAGTTGCGAGCAAAGGGCAAGAATCAGTTTTCGGTTCAAGACAAGTAGGTGGCTGGCTTTCGTGACCCCTTCTTGACTCCTTTATCCAAGCCTAAGAAGCTGTCTTGCACTTGGGAAGGATATGTAGTTACGTAAAGCCTAGAAGCAGATGAAATCTTTTACATGCACGCTGTTTCTATAAAGCTTCAACCTCCAAATTCAGAAAAGATAATTTAGTCCAATGATTTCATATATTCTATATCAAAACATTTCTTCAGAATGGCATCTGGCTAGAAATGTAAATCTTCCATTACTTGGCATTTATTTATTGAGCTTCCACAGCCCGTACTGCACTATTCTAGGCATTTGTAGCGCTTAGTAAAAAATATACATACACGGTCCCAGATCTTCAAATTTTCTCTTCTAACTGGGGAGTCAAGAAACGACTACACACACAACAGTAACAATCACCTCAAGGTGACACAAGGAAGCACACATACTCTACAGAATATTTATGTGTGCGTGTATATACATACCTAGTATACAATACACAATTATATAAAACACACACACACCCAGTTTTCATGCTGGCAGGCAGCCTCCCCTCCATACACTTCCAGTCCTTTTTCTTTCAGCACCCAGTTATGTGTTTAGGGAATGTTAACTGATTTTTTAAAATCAATCTCAATATAAGCCAAAGACAGACAACTGGAAAGATAAACCTGTAGGGGTGGGGGGTGGGAAGAAGAATAACATACTATTTGTATTCTAGCCTAAGGAAGTAACTTTTAGGGTCTTTACCATTTTAGATAATCTATTCTACCACCCCCCTCCAACAGTACATAATTTGAGAGTTCTGTATAAATAGATCCACTTAGAACGGGAGATGGATAGAAGATAGCTAGCTCTTGCAAGGTAGATAAAAACATCAAAGACTAATGGGGAAAAAGACTTATGTCCTGCAAGTTTCACAGAAACATTAGTGACGTCTTAACCCTGCTTTTCTTAGAATCTTAGCATTGAGAAATAGAAACTAATAGTTGAGGGGAGGGGAATAGGTGGTGTATGTGAAGCTGGGACAGAAAAAAGAAACTCTAAAAATAAATTCCAACCAAACTCTACAAATCATAATTTTCAATGGCAACATCCCACATGAGGAGGTTCCTAAAGCAAAGGCCAGAAAGTAAACAAGATGATTCCATTACAGCCTCTCAGGACGTGCTGAAGAGAAAGTTAAAAAGAAGAAACTATTTCTCATCCGTGAGACAGAGAAGCAGGACCTATGACCAACATAAATGATACTGTCTTCAAGCTAAGATAAATACCCACAAGAGCCCCAGATGGGAAACCTGGAGACAGACAAGCCAAATTTAATAAGCAGATCCTAAAGAGTTAAAAGGCGAGAATTTAAAAGGTATGTAATTCACAAAGTCAAGAGGGTGTAAGTGAGAAACTACCAGATAAACTGTTAACAAAGAACAGTGTATAATTCTGGTTTTTTTTTAAAAAGCATATTAAGTATCTTTAAAAGACAGTCTTTAATCATTTTTTCAATCACACACTTTACAATAATTCCAGGAAGAATTGGAATTATTCTCTGCAAGAAGCAACTGTCATGAACAGCATTCTGAAAACTCCCTTTAGTCTCAGACTAAATTTCAAACCATCATTCGAAAGCCTGCCACACACAATCAGTGTGCATCCTCATGTGGCAGCCTTACCCACTCCCGAGCTCCCATTCTGTTGCTGGGGCCTGCTGGCTGGTGGGCTGGCTGCTGAGACTGGAGGAGGAACTGCTGGCTGCTGTCCATGTCCTGGTGATCGAAAGAGAAAGACCATTTTAGTGCAAGTAATTTGGGTTAAGAGACTTAAACTTAAGTAGAAGAAATACTCTGAGAAAGTGTAAACTTGTGATTTTGTCAAAGACTCTTGTGGGTTGGAATTCATGCTGGGGCACTCAACTGCATGCAGCGAATGTGCTAGGGGTTCACACTTATGTTTTCATTACCTAAAAGGTTGGCTCCATTTACCTCTCACCTGCTTATAATTGATAGCTTTCGGTTTTAATGAGGTTCTCCCCTAAAGCCTTGCCCATTTCTCCCACCTGAACCTGAAGTCAAGTCACTGAGCTGAATCTGTGACATTACCACTATTTCCATAGCAACAAATCGATGTTATCAACAGAACTGTGTTCACGGCAGGATCTATCAGAAGAAAAAGCTGGGTGGTAACAAAAACCTAAAAGCAGTTCAATTGTCTCTGAAGTGCTCCTGCTTCAAAGGGAAAGAAGACATTCAGAAAGGATTCTACCCTTTCCTTCCCAAACAAAGCAACCTTATTTTGCAACTGACAGTTGGTGGAAAATAAGAGTTGAAAGCGCCTTCGGTACTGTGAAGGCTAGTGAACTGTCACAGCAGGAGAGATGAGGATGGAGTTCAGAAGCCGCTGTGGCGGGGAGACAGTAAGATTAAAAGGAAAAGGAGGGGAAACGAACATGTCTCTCAAGCATAAAATAAGAAATGCCACACCATCAGAGTATTTATTTGCCCCTCACCCCTTCTGCAAATGTTTATGAAACTGAAGAATGTTAAAATTGCAAAAATACACTTAATTTAAAAAAAATCATAGATTTATGGAATTTGATGTTGCCTTTGTGATTGGCACTAAAAGTAGAAGTCAACCCAATCCGGGCTGCTCACTAAGAGTGCTTGCAGCACACAAGTGCAGCTCAAAACATATCCTAGAGAGCCCTAAGAACAGACATGGTGAGCACCCCTGGAAAAGCTCCCTGCCTGCCGCCTTGCCTCTGCTTCTTCCACCACTGAGTTTATTCCTGCTGGGTTTTCCAAGGCCCTAACTCACATGGGCACACTGCACACTGATTTCCTTTCCTCCTGCCAAAGTTACTCTTAACTGGTACAACTAAATGGGAGTTAACAGTGCCTTTAAAGAGTAAAATTAATTTAGCATCAAATTAAAAGGGTTAAACATAACTGATTATTTAGTTCTTCCTACAGAGAGAAAAACTGAGAGGCCTCATTTACAGGGAAAAAAGAGCCAAGATTACTGACAATGAATTTTTGTGTTTACGTTTTAGCTTTTCCATTACCTCTGAATTTACAGAGTGTCATATGAGATTGCTTGGGAGGACTGTTCTCCTTTGACAATGTGTCTTATGAAGGAACATTCTGAAATTCTACAGTGAACCTTTTTTTAAATCAGTAGGGAAAAGGTGAGTTGCTCAGTAAACAGTATTGAGGCCAAGTGGTTGGAAAAAAATTAATCTGTAATTTTTTTTTTTTTTGGCTGCGTTGGGTCTTCATTGCTGCGCACAGGCTTTCTCTAGTTGCAGCAAGCGGGGGCTACTCTTTGTTGCAGTGCGGTGGCTTCTCATTGCGGTGGCTTCTCTTTTTTTTTTTTTTTTTTTTTTCGGTACGCGGGCCTCTCACTGTTGTGGCCTCTCCTGCTGCGGAGCACAGGCTCCGGACACGCAGGCTCAGCGGCCATGGCTCACGGGCCCAGCCGCTCCGCGGCATGTGGGATCTTCCCGGACTGGGGCACGAACCTGTATCCCCTGCATCGGCAGGCAGACTCTCAACCACTGCGCCACCAGGGAAGCCCCGGCGGCTTCTCTTGTTGCGGAGCACGGGCTCTCTAGGAGCATGGGCTTCAGTAGTTGCAGCACAGGGGCTCAGCAGTTGAGGCACACAGGCCCTAGAGGGCGTGGGCTTCAGTAGTTGTGGCACATGGGCTCAGGAGCTGTGGCTCCCGGGCTCAGGAGTTGTGGCTCGCAGGCTCTAGAGCGCAGGCTCAGCAGCTGTGGCGCACGGGCCTAGCTGCTCCACGGCATGTGGGATCTTCCCCGACCAGGGCTCAAACCCGTGTCCCCTGCATTGGCAGGTGGATTCTTCACCACTGTGCCACCAGGGAAGTCCCTTAATCTGTATTTTTACCTGCTTCATGAAATTTTATTCAAATGAACCAAAAGATTTAAACATTCAAAGATAGAACCATGAAGATACACAAATCCCTGCTATACTCCACCCTAGTTCCTCCCCCTCCCACTGTCTCAAACACATCTACACTCTCAAGTCCCTTCCTCCTCTCCACGCCCGCTTCTCCAAGTATCTTGCTGAACAGGACATGGTCACAGGATCTTGCTGATCTCTTACATTCACTTCCATCAAAATGTAACTAACCTTTATGAGGTATCTATAGTAGAACGGTGGTTACCAGGGACTGGTGGGAGTGGGGAGCGACTGTTTAATGGGTACAGAGTTTCAGTTTGGGGTGATGAAAGAGCTCTGGAGGTGGATGGTGGTGGCGGTTGCACAACAATGACTGTACTGAATGTCACTGAACAATACAACACTTAAAAAAGGACTAAGATGTCAATTTTATGTTATATGTATTTTACCACAATTTTTTAAAATGTAACATCTATTTACCTATTGCAAGATCAATATTTTTAAACATTTTAACATATGGATTAAAATTAATGCTATAATTTCTTTTTAGTAGTACATAATATAATGGTATAGTTTTATAATCATTGGATTCTTAGAGTCAATGACAATAGTATGTTTAACAAGACTCCAATTAGGCCCTGTAATAGACATGTTCATAATAGCTACAATTTTTTGAATGCTTACTATGTACCAGGCACAAGGTTAAGTGCATTATTCCATTTACTCTTTAGCTCTCTATATAAAATATATATAGATAGCATCATTGTACTCATTTAACAGATGAGAAAAGTGGGTTTAAGAGGTCAAGGAACTTGCCCAGAATCACACAGGAAGAGACAGAACTAGTCTCGAATCCAGGTTTGTCTGACTAGATCTATTCAACTTCACCACCATCCAGTTAATTTTTAATCCTAAGCAACCAATTCTGGAAGCCAGAACTCTAATTATATAAAACATAACTAATAACCACAATATCTAGTAGTTAGGAAAAGCTACTAATCCATTTATTAGAGCAATCCTTAATTCCTGCTTTGGACCACATTTGTAAATCTGGCCCAAGAGACAGGAGACATTCCCAAGCCAAACGGATGGCAAGAATGTTCGTGCATTCTAAATAGCAACAAGTGCCCTTCAGTTTAATGCACTGCGATACAACCAATGACCGGAAGACGCAAAAGACATCGGTACACAACTAAATAATAATCTTCCTAAAAATTAAAATTATACCCCAAAGCAGTAATACAGATATTCAACTTCTGATAATCTTCAGTTTTATGTCACCTGCAAACCAAATCATTCCAATAAGGTGGATCAAGGTCATAATTCTTAGACCTTTTTGCTGTATGCTAGCTTCCTATCGCCGGCTCTATATTTTGCTGTATGCTAGCTTCCTATCGCCGGCTCTGACCCGGGAGGGATACAGGATAATTTAAAAGCAGACTCTAGCTCCTCAAGTTACTTGCACTCACACCTATCACTTTTATTATCATTATAATAGTAAATGAGACACCAGCTAGAAAAATCAGCCAACAGACAACAGAGTATACAGAGTAACAAAAAACTCAATTTCTATCAACAATTACTTTCTTAACAACCACCACAAAGAATTTAAGGAAGAGTCAATTCAATAATTACAATTTCTTATTGGCAGAAAATGGACAGAGTTAGGCTGAAAAAAATTCCAGCTAGTATCTTTCAATAATGAGTGATACTAATAACTAAGCAACAAGTTAAGAAATTTAAGTCTAATACTGTGGTTAGAAATAGTGTACGTTCATAGAACTAATATACATACTGATTAAAAAATATATAATGGTAAATATGGGAGATTTAAAGCCATCCAACCCAATACTGTATGAAAAATGAACTGTGTTTGAAATTTTACTTCTCACATTTTGAAAATTCTGTAAGTATCTTTACTTAATGTGGTACTAGTACCATGAGACAATTTCAATGCACATTTTGGAATTCCTCTGCCTATTTCTGGGCTGGGTCTAGTGAGTCAGGTCATCTGATACGTCACAGGTCTGGGTTAGGTGCTAGGAGGATACAAATCTAACTTTAGTTCTCTATCCACTAATAACAGTCCCCTTGCTTTCCAACAGACAATTAGAAACCATTTCTGTCAAATACATCCATAAGGTAGTAGTCACTATGACAAAACTATTTTCATGATGGCCCAAGTAACAATGTTGTTATTGATCCGGTTACAATGAAATTCAATAGCAAATACTCTTTAACAGCAAAATTCTGTCTCATCCCTCTGCACTTTAACAGACCCTGAAGAAAGGGAAGAGCCAGAGGAGCTGGCATTGAGACAAAGGAGTGTTTTCCATAGTTGTACAGTTCTGACCTCAAGTGGTAAGCATCTTTTAACCCTTTCATCCCCATCTTTACCTCAAATACTTTTGCCCCTGAAAGGCAAAATGTCCAAAGCAACCATTCAATTAAATACAACATAAAAAATGTAAGAAATCTGGCCAAAGGTGCTAAGCTGGGCATAATCATCTCTCCCTCACCCCTACGGCATCCGAAGATTTCATAGAGATGCTAAGTATCACTTTGTCTTGACTCTCCTTCCTAAAAGCTGAGAATAAGATAACCAATGTGCTCATTTTAACAAAGTTTTACTAATGCAAAACAATTGTGATGTTCCAATTTAATATTTTAGAATTCTACCTGAATAGGTTCCAGCTTTCCCTTTCCAATTTAAAACACCAAATTATTATGTTTGGTGTAGGTAAAAATTAAATCTAGAACGTTACATTTCTGGAAGAAGCATGGTGATGACCTACTCCAAAACCTTCCCACTTCTTCTAAAAATCATAGACAGCAACAAGAAGAAT